TGTCTGTCCCCGGTGGGGACACGGGGTAAAATGTGTTCCCAGGACCCCATTGCTGGCCTTAAGAGGCGACCGATTTGGGCAACCCGTTTGCCGTGGGTTGCGCCCCTGTGTCGGTAGAGGAGGGGAGTCTGGTAGTTGAGGGCACTGGTTCCTTGAACTGTTAGAATGGTCCCGGTTTTATCACGCCAAGCCCTGTGCGTAATAATTTTAATTCTTATTTTTGAACATACATGTATTTTATTTTCATAAATGTATACCTCGATCTTTAAAAACTCAATTACTGAAATAATCCTATGCCAGAAGGCAGTGGTCCATGGGCAAATCTTGTAATGTTGACCGCTGAATTCTGTATGTCTCTAAATTATTGTTATGGGCTGAACCAGCTTGGCAGTAAATTAGTTGACAAATAGAGCTATTCATGTCATATTTGCTGGAGTATAATACCCCTGTAGCCCTGGTGTTTTGCATTTTGGATATCCAAAGCAACAAGACATCGTTCTTGTTGACACTCGACGGTGGGTGGGGAGCAGGGATGCAGAACCACTTCCTTACAATATGTCTTCAAAACACTCTGGTTCGAAAAGAAAAAAATTAGATGATAGCTCAGAAAGAAACTGAACTCCAAATTGGATTCCTGGGCTCGATTCACCGTATTAGTGGCATCCAAACATCAACCTATGAAATATAACCCGTTTGCCAAGACCATCAAGGCTGCAATCTTTAAACTCACTCAGCCAATTTACAAATGTGGAGGTTGCTGTCAGAGCACGAAGAACATTGAACTCGTGTCGAGACATCGTAAGAGACAGAGCCCGATGTCTGTCTGACATGGGTGAACTTGAGATTGTGACTGAACTGACAACAAGAAGGTGTTACAGCTGTAAAGCGTTTCACAAGAAAACAGGATAACAACATCATTAAGACTAACCCTTATCTCTGAACTGTTCCCATCATAACATTCCTAAATCAATCAAGGCTGGATATTTTAATATCGGAGTGGAGGTTTATATGCCAAACCCAGTCCGATGTTACAAATGTCAACACTTTGGACACGGTGCTGAGACCTGCACTCTCAGTACAATCTGCGTCCGCTGCAGTTGGTCTTATGATGCTATCAAATGTCCACATTGCCAGGGGGGTCATTTGGCCTCACCTCAACTTTGTCCAGAATTTGTTCTTCAATCACAAATACTAAAAATTAAACACAGTAACATTATCTCTTTTCATGATTCTAAAAATATAGTTCAGTCACAATCTCCAAATACTTCAATTCAGCAGCATTGTTTTTACTATGTGCTGTCTTTACATTCCTCCATCTGCATCTCTTCAGCAAACCAATCTTCAAACTCTCTATGAACTGCTCCCTAAGCTATGTATCATAATGGGCGATTTGAATAGACAAAATCCACTTTGGAGTAGTGATCATACAAGCAAGATCCGAGAAGATTTTATTTCCAACAATACACTATGCCTTTTTAATGATATCAAAAACGTATTTACATCCTGGTACAGGCAAATGCACTTCTCTTGATTTGTCTGTTACAGATTCAAACCTGCGGAATGAATTTGAGTGGTCAGTCTACGGCGATCTCTGTGGAAGTGACCACTTTCTAAACCCTATTACCCAATCTGATGTTCCTCCATCATCTCGATGGAACTTTACTTAAGCTAACTGGTCTCTGTTTAACGAAACTAAAACCTGATCGCTTTACTTACTTTCCTGACCCTACACAATGCTTTTCTGATCAACTAAACAACATAGCTGAAGAATGTGTTCCAAAGTCCTGTGCAATTTACACACATACGTAAACCATGGTTTAACTATACGATGATTGCAAACAAGGTAGGAAGTTATTTCATTCACCATCCTATTGTCAACAATTTGAATAAATTTAAAATATTAAACGCTAAAGTACGGCGTACATTTAAACAAAGTAAATCAATCGTGGCGATATTATGTCTTAAAAATAAATGTCTAAGGTATGGAACATGATCCAAAAAGAACAAAGGTAAGGGCACTGAATCTAGTATTCACCATCTTGAAATTGGGGACCAACTTCTAACTCATAAATCAGATATTGATAATAAACTTGGTAAATCTTTCGCTTCCTCGTCTAACTATGTACTTCAATTCCAAAAGCATAAAAAAAAGCAAGAAAAGAAACCTATTAATTTTAATTGAGATTACGGGGAAGATTATAAAGACCTTGTCTCTATTCATGAACTCCATACTACCCTTGGACAAGCTTACGATACTGCTACAGGAGCTGATACAAATTATTATTAACCCCTGAAACACTTACCAGAATCATCTATAGAAACACTATTGAATTTTCTTTTTGAAATTTGGACGTCAGGGTAATTACCTCCTTCATGACGTCATGCTATAACAGTTATCCCAATAAGCAAACCCGGGCGAGATCATACTGATCCTTCAAATTATCGATCAATATCATCGACAAGCTGTGTTTGCAAAACCGTCGAACGCATGATAAACAATCGCCTAGTTTGGTACCTAGAAACCAACAATCTTATTAATAATATACTATGTGGTTTCCGGAAAAACTGAAATACCATAGGTCATTTAGTTCGCTTATAATAATTCGTTAAAAATGCAATAAACAATAAACAACATGGAATGTCTATCTTTATCGATCTCGAAAAAGCATAAATGACACTAACTGGAAACACGGTATTTTAAAGGATTTACATGATTTTGAATTGCAAGGCCGTTTGCCCAAATCTAAATCCAGTTTTTAAACGACAGGTAATGTCAAGTCCGTTTGGGCTCTACCCTGTCTGATCACTATAATCAGGATCAGTGTGTCCCACAAGTAAGTACCTTGTCTGTCACATTGTTTAGTATTAAGATAAACAGTTTATCAAAAGTTTTAAATGATGGATCGCTCTTTGTTGATGATTGGAATATTTCTTGTGGCAAAAACATGAACACCATTGAAAGGCAACTGCAGCTATGTTTAAATAAAATCCATAAATGGTCTTTAGAAAATGGCTTTAAATTCTCAAAATCTAAAACAAACTGTATTCATGTTTGTAGAAAATAAAAACCTCACAAAGACACAGAACTAATATTAGATAACACCCTTATTAAAGTTGTAAATGATGCCAAGATTGTACGTAATCATTTTTACCATCATGTTGCCAGCGCCACTGTCATTGGATCCAGGACTATATCATCCAGATGACCGTTCTATTTTCACAGCAGAAGCAAATAGTTTTTTAACAGCACTAGAATATATCAACAGCCATCTTAACATAAACAGTTCATTATTTTTTCAGATTCTCTTTCTTGCCTTCAGGCTATTAAAAATATGTCTTCCACACATCCATTTTTAATTGAATTGTTTAATGATCTTGCGACTGGCCAATATGACATCGTTTTCTGTTGGTTACCCAGCCTTGTTGGAATCATTGGGAATACAATGGCAGCAGTCAACAAATCTGTGACACCACTTCTTATCCCAAACAGCAATCAAACCTGTCATTAGATGTCTCATCAGAGATCCCAAGTCGAATTGCGACACCCAAGTAGGTATAGATAAATTACATGAAATAAGATAAACTATAGGCTACACCTACTTGGGTTGTCACTCCAGATTTGAAGAGTTCATTTACGACGATGGCATATTGCCCTTCTCGTTATTCACATGAATATTCGTTGCAAGGTGAGGATCCTCCATTTTATATCCCTTGTGATGAGAGAATCACAGTCAAGCATGTCCTGCTTGACTGTGTTGATTTTGCCATCACAGGGGACAACAAAAAATTAATAAGATGACAAAAGGGGGAAAATAACAAAGGGTAGAAACTAACGAGGGAAGCCAACAGATGATTAGCGCTGATAGGTGATTAGCAATAGACAATGGAAGCCAACACTTTACAGTAATTAGTTCTTAAGGTATAGAAGCCATCCTTAGGTTATCATAGATAGGTAATAGGCAATGGACACTGGGAAACATGGGAGGCCGGGGGTAATGCCTCATGGCATTTATTCACCTGAGTGAGTGAGTGAGTGAGTGAGTGAGTGAGTGAGTGAGTGAGTGAGTGAGTGAGTGAGTGAGTGAGTGAGTGAGTGAGTGAGTGAGTGAGTGAGTGAGTGAGTGAGTGAGTGAGTGAGTGAGTGAGTGAGTGAGTGAGTGAGTGAGTGAGTGAGTGAGTGAGTGAGTGAGTGAGTGAGTGAGTGAGTGAGTGAGTGAGTGAGTGAGTGAGTGAGTGAGTGAGTGAGTGAGTGAGTGAGTGAGTGAGTGAGTGAGTGAGTGAGTGAGTGAGTGAGTGAGTGAGTGAGTGAGTGAGTGAGTGAGTGAGTGAGTGAGTGAGTGAGTGAGTTTACGCCACTTTTAGCAATATTCTAGCATTAATATGGCAGCGGACACCAGAAATGGGCTTCACACATTGTACCCATGTCGGGAATCGGTGTGACGAGCGAAAGCTTTAACCACAAGGCTACCCGATCGCCCCTCACCTGATGAAGGGGTAAGCATATACTCCGAAACGATGTGTTCCTCACAATAAAGAAGTTGACATCCATATGTCTGTCTGGCTGTCGAATGTCTGTATATCTGTTTCTATGTATGCATTACGTTGTAAATCCTGCTGGGTTTTATATAAGTATTGAACGTCATTTTAGGCTTTAATCTTAATTTAAATTGACAATACTGAAATACTGTAGCAAAGATGCATTAAAACCCAACTCACTTGTTTGTACCTACGAACCTTGCAGCTATGTACCTAATGAAGATCTTTGTCGTGGCATTATTATCATTCGCTTATCAGCATCAATCCACCATTCGTGTGTATTTGTATAATATAAAAAGCTACGAGAAATCCTCCTCACTCAGGTACTGACACTTTAAAGCATGTACATGTATTGAAGTTGGATATTTAACATAAAGGTGATATATTTCTCCATTGCGAACATATCAATATTCCCCATTGCAACGAATCTTTGACTACATAAACAAAACATAAGTAGTCTTTCAGGACACAATCACATGACTGATACTAGATGTAAACACACCAACTGTGACAGTGCTGTTGAACATTTAGAACTTGTTCACGTCAATGTTAAATTAACATGATTGCTACACACCCAATCGTAACACCAGCGGATAACAAGATGAAGAAAGCAAAGAAAATCATATCAAGGTGTCTCATAATTATCATGGCCCTCTCAGCCTTCGTACCGTCAGGGATTTCCGCACAGTTCGGTATTGTGTCCATTGTAACTTCTTCAGGTTCATTATTATTTGATCTGTTGACCCTTGTTTCCCTTCTTAAATCTCTTTTTTCTTTTTCCTTCATAGCTTTGTGATGTATGTTCAAAATGAGGATGTTACAGATGATGGATAAGGCTCCCAGAGCAAGATGAAGAACAACGAACAGAGCTATGATGGGGATGCTCTCTGAGTTGTTTGGGGTAATGTCACCGATGTAACTGAGAAACACTGTCAGGGATAGCATTGTGGTTACGGACATGGATACTTTCTCTCCGGACTCTGGTGGAACGATGAAAACAAAACTGTTCAAAATGGATAAGATCACAACTGGAATGATTATTTTCACGACGTAGAAAACACTGAAGCGTTTCAGCTTAAATACAAAAGAAATGTCCTTCTGTATACCATGTTCACCCCTGAAGGAAGATACAGTCTCAGAGATTGATATGTTTAACAATTTCCATTCAGAGTTCGACTTAAAAAAGTCCATGTTAATGGAATCCTTTGTTGGCACGAAGCTGATCTCATTGCTGTAATACATCCAGGAGGTGATATTTAGGGAGCACTGCTGAGAATCAAATGGAAATGTGACAACATCAATTTCACAGATAGTTTTGAAAATGTTTCCTGGTGACCACTCAACTTCTCCATTAGAATGAACTATAACAAAGTCCTGACCAGATCCCAACATACTTAAACCTGCGACAGAATTTTCAGTTATGATATCTGGAATCCATATCATGTTTTGTTTAACACACATTTTATCAATTCCACCATAGTTGCTGGCATTCCACGTTAATCTCGAATCGGTCCACCACAGGTCAATCCACCCACTTGAGGTAAGAACCTGCTCTCTTTCATTCAACTCTATGATAAACATAGGGTAAAATATGACGTTGATATGAACAATCCTTCCACTTTGAGGGTCACATTTGGAGAACAATGAACGCTTTTCGATGACATCTTTGATAAGGTTAAACTCATCATCTATGGTTGCCGTCACCATGAGCTGGAACGAAGAGTACATCATCATCATCAACAAGACAAGTGAAAATAGTCGAGGTTCCATTTTATAACTATACTTCAATTCTTCTCGCCCTAAAGTGACGAAACTACAAGTTGTATGTACAGCATTTCACTCTTTGTGTATTTACACGTCAATCCCCCGAATCGGTCCATAGGGGTAGGGACATTGAAAAACAAGATATGGTTGCCTTGCCAATGGTCTGTATAATACGGTACGTTTAATCCATGTCTATCGATTGGCATTAAGCGGAAATTTCCACAAACAAATCATTATTTACTTTATCTCACGTTGAATGTCAATCTGTGGTTGCTGTGGCGTGGTTATTCTGTTCAATACTTGATGAAGTGAAGTGAAATAGACTCATCCTTTCGCGAACCATTTGATAGCGATAAATACATCAATGCATATTATCATGGTATAGTCGGAATTACGATGGATCTTAGCTGATATTTCTTTTGATGAAGCTTGTATAGCGGTGCGGATATGTGTGTGTGTGTAGGTACTGTTTTTAAACACATATGTGACGTCATTCCATTGTTTGAACGCTCCATTATTTTTCAGGAATGGAGAGTTGCTTGTCAGCTGTACATTATCTTGAAGCAACATTTGAATTAATTTCCATTTGGAACAGACGGAACTATTTTTTACAATTATTTACAAGTGAATATTTTCATTTTTTCCGAAAACATGTGTCGTCAGCGGGGTTCGAACCCGCCGCATCGTTAAATTTGAAAACGTGTAATTGTCAATCTCAGCTACTGCGGCACATGAAGGCATGGTGTGAAATTAACTATTAAATATTTTCACATTTTTGCATAATGCTTAAAAACTCAAAATAGTATGTATATATTTTGTGTTAGAGCAGATTATCCACAACAATGTTCATATTTATAGCAGTTAGATAAACCTCCACGAGAAAAAAAAAATAAGGTAATATAAATTTCGCGTATTCGGGTTTTTATATTTCCTGTTATACCCATCAGCATGTATTAACAATGTGCAAGCGATTGATAAATACTAGTTTAGGACCCAACAAAATTATGAAGAGCCGTGTACCATGCATTGTAAATGTCAGCTCGCGACAGAGCTTGGCGCACGTGCAACAGCGGCAGATAACGTATTCCTCGTGCATCACGCAAGGCCGACTCACGCAGTACAAATACAGACAACAAAGAGTTCTGGTTTATTTTTCAAATATTTTCAACTACAGAATATTTTGTCAAAGAGTAAAAGTAGGGATGAGTTTTAGGTAGGGGAATATCCTCGTAACTCTTAGTTACTCGGACATTCCCCTCTACGTACTGTTTAGGACCTCTATGAGACCATTGAGATACCACGCCGCTATTAAATACGGATACCCAGCTCAGACTTATAATACTGACTACGAACCGACCAGTTCTAGTTTAATCTATTCCTGTCGAGCTCCTGGCATCGTAACAGCAATACCCCTGACGTTATGATGCGACCAGGTAATCGGACCATCGACCTTTTACTCCATCCAGGTCACCACAGGGGTGGTCAATACATTATCCATAAACATATATTTATAGGTAAATTGTTATCGTTTTCCAAAGACATGAAAAAAAATTCTTACGAAAATTTTCAAAGAAGTGTTGATATTTTGATATGTTCTTGTATCCAAATGAAATTACACTTAGTTTGCAACAAATAGTTAATAAAAAACAATGTGCAGATTGTTACACAATAGTTGTAGTATACCAAAACAGATACCCAACTGTGCTTTTGTTCAACCTTATTTTATTTTTATCTTGTGTCATCAGTTGTTCAGTGGTGTAAGGTTTCGCAATTAGATCCGCAGAGTTGCCTCCCACATCATGCATTGATCATAGATTCAAATCCCTAATTATCTCCAAATATGTTTGGCTTGACAACATCACAAATTGCATAGTATATCATTCCCTGCATATATATTGTACTCGTGGGTTTAATCAAAGTATCAAACCGTCACTTTAGGCTTTAATCTTTCATATATACTCAATGAAATTACTGAAATACTGTTCATGTCTTAAACCTAAATCTTTTACTAACTTCCTACGTAACTATGACGTACCCTTTGTCGAGGGAGTCAGACTCCCTCTGATTTTAATATTTCCAATAATAGATAAATACAGCACCAGTCCCTTGTTATTGGGTTTCACACAAAATAGGCCACATCAACGTCACATTTTGGACTTCATTCCACATTAAGCTGAACAACTTTATTTTATGCAAACGGAATAATGTTCAAAGCGATATAAAGCCCTACTGTTTCAGGCACTCAGGCTTGACAACGCCATATACATGCCCATGGATTTCACCCTAAGAATGGACACCGTCTACGATCTGTGTCAACTTTAGGCTTTCCTCTAAAGTAGGTGAAATACACCCCAAAGAGCTGTTGTTAAGCAACACATTCACTCATTCAAACAACCTTATCTTGAACATCCTGTTCATCACATTTAAACACATGTCAAAAGAAACATCAGGATCAATACAGAGCCATTAGTGCAATTCATATAGGGACGGCTGCCGTAGTATCATTTGTTCAAACTTTTCATGACATTACTGCTTGCGAGTGAAAGCGTTATTTACACAATTAGTAGAATCAATTAATCAGTATCCGATCATAACTATGGAATACATTTGAAATATGCTTCTAATAAGGAGATAACCCATAGAGTTTTCAATGTACAGTTTTCAACACAGTTGTGTATAATTCTAGATTTCGAAACTCTTTGGTTATAGCGGAGATAATCAGTAATGAGGCGTAGATTGAGTCCATAATATTCAGTAGGTACAAAGGGATCAGTGAAGATTAGTTTTAATCTGCACATTTGTTTTCTTTTTGTACCTAAGCCATATATTTTACCATAATACATGAACCACTTCACTGAGACACGAATAAATCACGTAGGTAGAAATCCTGAAAGTTTTATTCAGCATACATCACCAGAGAAAATGAAACTTTGTATTTTTGTACAAAGCGCCATAAGGACGTCATACTGTTCTAAAAATTGGAAGTCGAGGTATTGTGATGTGGCAGACATGACATCACAGTTGGTGATGTTTGCGCCAAAATCCAACCCTGTTGATGTTATTAAAATTTACACATACTCTCTCAGTATATGTTCCGGATTTCCACCTGAAGTATACTGCCGCACTTGCTGAAACAAAATAGGAGCCACAACACGTTATTTAGCAACATTAATGAAGAAATATCCGCATTTCTAATTGCCAAACAGGTGGGTTTAGGAAAGAAGTGCTCCTGAAGAATTTTTTTCTAGCGCGGTAATGCGGTTATCAGCAAAATCATGATGTAACATTGATTCGAAACGGCTGACGAACTAATCGGAACTCAGGATTCTGAAGAGTAATGCTAAAACACGCAATATTGAACCCTTTGGGGATTCCAGGGAAGCATAGGTCTCCACTATCCCTTGCTTTTGCGCATAGGAAATTAAGAGGGGCAGGTGATCAGATTCGGTGACTTGGCCGTTTGCGTGTCATTGTAAACCATTTGTGTGGATTTTTAATTGCCCGTGTTCAGTTCAATTCAGGGTCTAACATTGTCGTATTTACTGATTACAACTACAAAACAAACACCTCTGATATAGATTGGGAAAGGTATATTTAAGAGATAGTAATGGTTATTAAAAGGAAAATATACACAGAGATGTCAAGCACCACTGCCATATCAACAATTATGAGAAACATCATGATAGCTTGACATTTAATTTTGAATTGTAGAAACAAAACTATTCAGGATTGTTTATATTATGTACATCCGACAAAACATGACTTTACTTCATTATTGTTATGTACGAACAATAAGACAACTCGTATACTTTCATTGTTTATTTTCATACTATGCCACAAAGGAATACATTATTTTAAACTTTACAAACGCTTCTGTATTGTTTACATTATGTACCATGGGTCTGTGACCTCAAAGTATTCGAGTGAGTGAGGGAGTGTGTGCGAATGCTTTTACGCCTTCATCAATTTTCTAGCAATATCACGGAGGGGGACACCAGAAATGGTCTTCACACATGATACCCATGTGGGAAATCGAACTCTGGTCTTCGGCGTGTCGAGTGAACGCTGAACCATGAGGCTATCCTACAATCCCTAAAATATAACATAAAAATACTCAATTGATCTGATATTTGACGACAGAAACAGATTTGTTTTTTGTTTGATACAGGAAGGCAACTAATGAATTCTCAAGGAAACATTGTTCAATTATCACAGTAAAATACCTAAATGTCTGATCATACATGTAAACACATTTACATACATATCAAACATTATTTTATTGTCGGGTTATAATCATTATTCACACAGAAAATTATTTTTAACAACTAAATGTCTTTAAGGTGATGAGACTAGTTTGTGGTTATCAATTTAAGAGGATAACAATTGCTAAAAAATAAACCATATTATCCAGTTTCCTGGTTTTATTGTGCGACATAACCCTTATCGTTAATTACATGTGGTATGCATGCTAATTGGTATAGATAGTTATGATCTTCAAAACGACTAAATTATGCTTTGTATCAAGACGTATTCGGGATATTTATTTCTTATTATTAGTTTATTGGAATAGAATCGACATAATTACTTTATAGCTTTACTCAACGCAAAGATTTATATTATTAGCTTCCACGGATCAATGGTGAGTGTAAGGAAAAAAATGCATGATAAAACACAATGCGCATTTTAACATATTACTTGAGCTTCATGCCATCCATCGTTACTCAAATGTGTAAAGAAAGTCGCTATTGGCAGAAAAGTTCATTGACATTTGTTGAATAGTTTATAAATATCTCTCAGAGGTTGTATTACTGAACTGAACTGATAATCAACTGGTGTCCCAATCAATTTTTACAATTTGTAAAATACGAAAACACATTGACCGTTTTGTGTCAATGTAAATCAGTGGGATTTTAAAATACAAGCACATGTGGTTGATAACCTAATCATCATTGGCCAAGATTTTGTCCATTAGATAACGTGAAGATTTAAGCTTTTCGAATGGTATTCGTTCTTTGGTGATGTAAGTTAA